GACCAGCCAGCCAACGAGACGTGCATCCGCTGCCGGGCGGGCAGCTTCTGCCCGCAGGGCGCGTCGAACGAGCTGGCGGCAACGTGCAAGCCTGGCGAGTACGCCAACTTGACAGACGACGACGGCATCCCAGAGTGCTTTGTCTGTCCCCCGGGCCAGTCGTGCGGTGGCGGCGGCGCGCCGCCGACGGAGTGCTCGCCGGGGACGTACGCTGAGGGCGGGACAGACGTGTGCTCCCCTTGCGACCAGGGCACGTACCAGCCGTCGTCGGGCGCGGCTGGCTGCCTCGAGTGCAACCGCGGCACCTTTTGCCCTGCAGGAAGCAGCCTCGAGCTGCCGTCGAATTGCGCATCTGGCACGTTCAGCAACAGCTCGGACAGTGCGGTGCTCAGCCTGGACGATTGCGAGCCTTGCGCGCCTGGCTTTTTCTGCGCAGGCGGCACCGCAGTGCCGACAGAGTGCGCAGCGGGCACGATCGCGCCATTCGAGCGGATGGAGGCATGCGACAAGTGCCCTGCGGGCGAGTATCAGGACGACGGCGGCGCCACGGCGTGCAAGGCGTGTATGCAAGGAAGCTACTGCCCAGAAGGCGCGGCGGCGCCACTGCCCTGTCCTGCCGGCTCCTTCTCGAACGCCACAGACCTCGGCGCGCCGGACGAGTGTACCGCCTGCCCTGCGGGCCACGCCTGCTCAACCGGCAGCACCGAGCCGGTGCCGTGTTCGCCGGGTACTCTTGCCGCACGCGAGGGGCACGGCATTTGTGAGAAGTGCCCTGCGGGCGAGTATCAGGACGACGGCGGCGCCACGGCGTGCAAGGCGTGTTTGCCGGGCAGCTACTGCCCACAGGGCGCGGCGGCGCCGCTCCCGTGCGAGGCTGGCAGCTACTCGAACAGGACGGACCTCGAGTCGGCGGGCGATTGTGAGGTTTGCCCACAGGGCCACGCTTGCACCACTGGCGCCGTGGTTCCGATCGCATGCCTCCCCGGCAGCTTCTCCCTCGGCTTGGGCAACGCCGAGTGCGAGCCTTGCAAGGCGGGAACCTACCAGAGCGACGCCGGCGCTGCTGACTGCGTCCCGTGCGGGCTTGGCAGCTTCTGCCCGGTCGGCGCGTCGCTCGAGCTGCCCGCGACGTGCGAGCCGGGCACGTACGCCAACATGACGGACGGAGACGGCTTGCCAGACTGCTTCGATTGTCCGGCGGGCTCGTCGTGCCCGGGCGGCGCCGCGCCTCCGAGGCAGTGCGCGGCGGGCAGCTACGCTGCCACAGAGCGCCTCTCCGAGTGCGCCAGCTGCTCGGGTGGCACATACCAAGACGAGACGGGTGGAAAGGGTTGCCGCGCGTGCGTCCCTGGCAGCTATTGCAAGCCGGGTGCGGCGTCGCCGCTACCGTGCGAGGCGGGAAGCTATTCGAGCAGGACGG